TCCGCAACATTTACAAAATACAGTTGTTGTTGTGATTTGTTGTTGAGTCACTTCCCACTCATGGCAACCCCACGTGTTACAGAGTAGAACTGCTCCATAGGGTTTATTGGCTGTAATCTTAACAGAAGTGGATCACCAGGCCTTTTCTTCTACATCACTGTTAGGTGGGTTCAGACTGCCGACCTTTTAGGTTAGCAGTTGAGTGCTAACCATTTGCACCACCTAGGGACCTTTTACAAAACATTGCCATCAAGTCAGTTCCAACTCATAGCCCCCCTATAGGATAGAGTAGAATTGCCTCATAGGGTTTCCAAGGAGCAGCTGGTGGATTCGAACTGCCAGCCTTTTTGTTAGCAGCCAAGCTCTTAACCACTGTGCCGCCAGGACTCCTTACCAAACATTAATGCTATGTGTCATGAATTAAATTATGTCCCCCAAAAATATCTGTCAACTTCGCTCGGCCATGATTCCCAGTATTGTGTGATTTTCCACCATTTTGTCATCTGATGGATTTTCCTATGTATTGTAAATCCTATCTCTATGATGTAATAAGGTGAGATTAGTGACAGTTATGTTGATGAGACTCAATCTACAAGATTGGATTGTGTCTTAAGCCCATCTCTTTTGAGATATAAAAGAAGCCAGCAGAGAGATAGGGGGACCTCATACCACCAAGAAAGTAGAGCTACAAGCATGCATCCTTTGAACCCGGGGTTCCTCTGTGGAGAAGCTCCTAAACCGGGGGAAGATTGATGTCAAGGACGTTCCTCCAGAACTGACAGAGAAAAAGCCTTCCCTTGGAGCTGATGCCCTGTATTTGGACTTCTAGCCTCCTAGACTGTGAGAGAATAAACTTCTGTTTGTTGAAGCCATCCATTTCTGGTATTTCTGTTATAGCAGCACTAGGTAACTAAGACACTGTGTAAATGATGAAATAAGTTTGCTTGGGATGTCTTTAAGAGGAACGTTAGCATGAAGCTTCCTTGCTAATTAATGAATAAGAATTACAAACTTGTCACAGATGTACTTGTTAATTTTACCAGTATCAACTTGATGCGTGGGTTAGTGAATTTGTGTAGAAATGTTTTAAATTAGAAGTGTTATATACTGAAAGAGTATTTTCCTTGTTTGTTCAAAGCTTTTGTAGATAGTTTCAGAGTGTCCTGGAGCCTTGAGTCTCTCTTGAGAGTTACTGAAGCGTTATTTGGGTCTGAATGTCATGAGAAAAGCCTAGAACTATATTTAGAATGTATGCAAGCTGCCTTTCCTGGGAAACTTGCCATATTTTTCCACATTGTTGATTATCTTTGAGTTAGTGACTAGTATAAAAACGGGTGAATCGAATAAATATGCTTATGTACAAGTTAATGGTTATGCATTATTTTTCATTTTAAAGCCCCATAATGAGCCAATTAGTTAAGTATTTTGGTTTGTTTTTGTTTGTTTTTTTATGTCATTTTGTTTTTGTTTCCTTGGAAAACGGGTTTTAACTGATTGAGGTATGATTTTTTTTGTTTCCTGATAGTAAGTGAATAATTCAGGCCATTTGTGTAAAGCATGAGTTACCATGTGAATAATTGTTTACTATTAGTACAAAGTCATCTTTTAATATAATAATACTGAATTTTAAATTTTTCTCTGATAGGAAATTCTTAATTAAAGTGATATGTTTCATGTAAGAACTTTTTGTGTGTGTGGTTTAACTTTTTTTTAAATGTATTTTATTGTGTTTTTGGTGAAAGTTTACACAGCAGTTAGGTTCCCATTTAACAATTTCTGTGCGTGTTGTTCAGTGATGTTGGTTACATTTTTCCCAGTGTGTCAGCATTCTCATTATTTCCATTCTGGTTGTTCTGTTTCCATGGATCTAACTTCCCTGCCCCCACCCCCCACCCCACCCATCTTTGCTTTAGGGTAAATGTTAACCATTTGGTCTCATACAGATGATTATTTAAAGGATCTCAGTACTCGTGGGTGATGTTGTTTATTTTATGAGCCAATCTGTTATTTGGCTAAAAGGTGACCTCCAGAAGTGGCTTCGGTTCCAAGTCTGGAGCTTATCTCAGTGCAGTAGTTTTGGGGGTTCCTATAGTCTCTACTGGTCCAGTACGTTTGGCCTTTTTTAGGAATTTGAGTTTTGTTTTACATTTTTCTCCCATTCTATCTGAGACTATCTGTTGTGTCCCTGGTCAAAGCAGTTGGCAGTGGTAGCTGGGCACCATCTAGTTCTTCTGGTCCTAGGATAGATAAGGCCGTGGTTCATGTGGGCTGTTAGTCTTGTAGACTAGTTTCTTCTCTGAGTCTTTGGTTTTCTTCTTTCTCTTTTGCTCCAGTCAAGTAGAGATCAATAGTTGTGTCTTAGATGACGACTCACAAGCTTTTAAGACCCCAGATGCTACTCACCAAACTAGGATGTAGAACATTATCTTTATGAGCTGTGATATGCCAGTTGTCTGACTTGTCCCACAAGACGGTGGTCCTAAGACTCAAACCCAGTAAACCAATCCCGCAAGATGTTTAGTTATATGTAGGAAGTATCCATAACTGTGCCCCCTGTGTGCTTTATTATGTATATATGAATATATATGCAATACATACAAACATGTATATACCTGTGCCTATAGATACACCTGTACATGCAACCCATATACTCACACGTGCCTTCCTATACACATGTATGTGTACATATCTACCTATGTAACCACACATATTTTTTGGTTGTTATGACTGTCATTGCAAAATTGTATGTTACAGCATTTACCAGAATCATCTCTTATGTACTTCTTAGAGTGATCATTTACCGTGGTTAGGTTGTACACCAGAAAAAACCAAACCTGTTGCTATCGAGTCGATTCCAACTCATCGCGACCCTATAGGACAGAGTAGAATTGCCCCATTGAGTTTCCAAGGAGTGCCTGGTGGATTCGAACAGCCAACCTTTTGGTTAGCAGCCATAGCTCTTAACCTCTATGCCACTAGGGTTTCCAAGGTAGTAGTAGTATGGAAATAAAATGAAACCTAATGAAAGATTCTGTAGTTTCAACCTTATGGTTCAACCATAAGGTTCAAACTACTCTGTTTTATTGTTTAAAGAAAAACACACACACTCAACACACACACACACCCTTCAAGGAATGAAGAAATTTATATTTTAAGTGGTTACTAATAATGGAAAGCTTATTGATAAGTAAATTTGTTGATATGAGCAAATCATTCAACTCCCAGTTAGAGATTCAAATGCAAGTGAGAAGTTGTTCCCAGAGAAGAAGAGGAAAGAGGAAATGAGAGAGTTAAAGTGCTGAGAGACCCTGAGGCCAAGAGCTAAAGCTAGTTAAGATTTTCAACCCAGAAAACTGCAGAACCTTTCTTAGGGCCATCGTTCCAGGCCCTACAAAGCCATGCTAACGACTCGGGACTGCCCAGCCGGTGGGAAGGGGGACACCCCCACCACCTGGTGCTGGACATCATTACCTGTCGTCACTGAGCACGCCATCAGCTTTGATCCCTGGGATCACAGACGGAGCAAAAGGGACAGTTCTCTTTTTCACACTCTTCTCAGATGCTTCCTCTGCCTTCGAGGGTCTGCCCTCTGATGCTCAGCGTAGGCAGATGTCACCTTTACAAGAGGAGCTGAAAGGGTGGGCCCAGAGCCCAGGCGAGAGCCGTGACGTCATCTCTGACTGCCAGCCTCAGTGGAGCAGGTCCTCAGCGCCCGGTTGGCAGGCGTGCCTGATGCGTTTCATAGAGAAGAAAGATGTTCTTTTCTACAGAAAATGACAGGCTTTGATAGCAAGTTCATATTATAAAAAAAAAAAAAAACCCAGTACCGTGGAGTCAGTTCTGACTCATAGCAACCCTATAGGGCAGAGTAGAACTGCCCGGTAGGGTTTCCAGGGAGCGGCTGGTGGATTCAAACTGCCAACCTTTTGGTTAGCAGCCTGAGCTCTTAACCACTGTGCCACCAGGGCCTCAAGTTTGTATAGCCTCTGGAAATGCAACAAAAACTCCAGGAGGGTTTTGAGACTAAGGTGACAATGTTTTTTATCAAAATCTGTGTCTAATACGACAGTTTCATTAATACACGCTTGTGCAGTAAGAAGCCAAGTGAAGACAGCGGGCTGAGTCAGGAAACCTGACTCCAGTCCTGCCTTGTGCTGACTGGCCGCCGAAGCATCGCTCCGTGTGACAAGGTTCTCTTCCTCTGTCAAACAGGCAGGGGGGTTGGGATCCTTAAAGTCCCTCCCAATTTAAATGTGATTCATGTCTATGAGGATCACCAATAAAAACTAACTGTACCTTAACATGGTTTTGTGTTTTAAGTTTGCTGTAAAAGTGTAAGCCTTCACTGTTTTCAGTGATTTTAGGGTTAGTTGTTCGAATAGAAAAATCTGCTTTCTTAAGTTCAGAGCATTCTGACTTCTTCCAGACTAACCATCCCTGCAGTCTTCCTCACTGCTCCGTCCCATAGCTAACATTACAGCCCTGCCTGGCCCACAGCGGGGCTGCCTTGCACAGCCAGGCCTTAGAGAAGCAGAAGAAAATATCGCTAGTGATGGAATCTGCAAAACTACCTTGATAGAGGGACGCCAGCTCGTAAACGCGTGTTCATTCTGCATCTTCGTGGTGTCAGTATGTTATACGTAGTATTGTCGTTTCTTTAAGAGGGACCCTATCATAAATCTTCTCCGTGTTGTCTTCTCTTCTGTATGAGTCGGGCATTCATTTGGAAAACAAATAGCTGTTTAAGGATTTTATGTACTCCTATCCGGCATACTAGTTTGTCTTTCGATTCTCACACTCACTGATTTGTCGAGAGTTTTACACTCTGGTCATCATTTTATTTCATAGAGATTTTCTAATAAAATTAATTCTAAGTTTGATCAGTTGGGCCTACTCCATTTAAAAGGGACCACAATAGTTAAACTTCACGAATTTTGATTCCGCTGGGCTTGTCCAGTCTGCTTTCCAGGTAACACAACTGAGCCATTTTTCTCTTGCAGAGTGTCCGACCGACACCACAAAACGACGCCGTAACTGTGCACTTTAAACCAATTACGTTAAAGGCTTCAGAAAGTAAATACACTAAGGTCGCAAGTATTAGTTTTGATGGTAAGTAATCACCTTTTTCTCTCTAATAGTGTGGTGTTAGTCTCATAAACTAAAAAACATCTGTCTTGACATCTTAATACAGAAATTCAGACTACTTGTGGGCAGATTTTATACTACCACCTCGGTTCATCTTGCCTGTTAACCATCACACACTCTGTCTTCATGAAAGACAATATTTCAGAAAGCTAAATTACTATTAGTAGTAGATAAAGATTAGCAGACATATTAGGATTGGGATTCTGTTTCTGTAATCTGGGCTCGCTATGTGTCGGAATCGATTCAGCGGCAGTGAGTTTGGTGTTTTGATTAATCTGGGCTAACCCTTCCCCATATATATGTTATGCTTTGCTTTAAGTATAAAGGCATCACTTCTTTTAATTCAGTGATAATGTATTTGAATTTCAGAAGTATGTTTGAATTTAGGAGCAGAAAGAAAGTAGTCTCTAACATTTTCATATATTGGCTTTTAAAAGTAAGGTAGAGGTTCCTACTTTAGCTAAAATAATAGCCTTTGTGATAGAATTGTCAAATTGGCTAACTCTTCTTTCTGACCAATGAGTTATTTTGTCTTTGGAAATGTTAGCTCACCCTAGGCTGTGAGAATGTTTTCATAGCATGTTTTTATTTATTTTTTCCCATTTTAATAGAACATTTGTTGCCACAAAAATTTTTAAGTAGTGACTTAATGACCTCTTGACTGTATGTTTAATGCAACAGAAAGGCTGAACAGGCCCTTTCTCCTAGGGGCCCGTGCAAGCGAGGGGTCCTGCAGCTTGAATTTTGGCTTTACGACAGTGCCATCTCTGCCAGTACTTCACCTTCTACAGCTAAGCTCATCATTGGATGACAGTATTTGATAAAGAGCGTAGTAGGTTAAGGTCCTGGCTGACACCAACAGGTTGTGCTGGTCTACTAACCAAAAGGTTGTTGATTCAAACCTACCCAGTGGCACCATGGAAAAAAGGCCTGGCAAGCTGCTTCCACAAAGATTACAGCCAAGAAACCCTATGGAGCAGTTCTACTCCCTAACACATGGGATCACCATGAGTCAGAATCAACTCAGTGGCAACGGATTTGGTTTTGGTTTGGTGGCAGTTTACTAATAAACTGAACAATGTTTGTGAGCAGCTTTGCTTAATCCTTGCACATGGAGAGTTCTGGGGAGGAGCTGGAGCAGGTACACAGGCTGGTTGCAGGCTTAAGTATTCACTCCCGTAAGATCAGTGAAAATCCCAAGGAAATAAAATTTAAATATGAGGCATACTTTCATAATACAACTTCAAGAAATAGCCGGCATTCTAGAAGGTATTGATGCCACAGTTATTTCCAAGTCTGAGATAAATTGTCTTCCCTGTTGCTAAGATACCACATTCCCATCAGCATCAACAGGTGAAGTCTCTTCTCTTACAGAGAAAGAGAACAGCCAGTGGGATGTCAGGAGAGCGTCTAGGACCCACCCTTGTGTTAAATCTGAGGACGGGGGGATACGCGATGGGGAGTTGTACTGTAGTTGTCCCGGCTCCAGCTTCTGTGTCGATGGCTTAGTGAATGTGTTCCCATTCTGGACATAAATGCAATGTCATGGCTCTTGGCTCTTCTGAGACCATAGACTTTAAAATCAGTGTTCCTGAAATCAATTACGTAGAATCAAATTACAGAGACAAAGGGAAGACGAAAACACCCCTTAAAGCAAATGCTGCGTTCTTGTAAGTGGTTTTTATTAACGTGGGAATACCCCTCCACCTTCTGCCACCCTCCCCACCCTGGATGCCAACACAGACAACCTCTCTGAAATGGTTGTGAAAGGCAGCCAGGAAATGTGTCATGTTTCACTTCTCGTATTTTCTGAATGGACCTCATACAGATTCTAGTCTTCACTCTCAACAAAAGTCACTGTTGTCTGTTAGTTTTAAGTGATTTTTGACTGCTTCATTTGCTAAAATGCAACTTTATAAGATCCCACGAAATGCCTCAATATCGTGGCCCTTTTGATGAGCCTTGTATGAGACCGGTGGTAAAGGTTAAAAGCATCCAGAGATGGCTAACTAGCAAGTAGAAAGAAATAAGAGGCTTAGTAGGAGTTCTAAAAATCTAAAGCCGTCATCTGTACATAGCCATACACTGAAGGCCATGACATCTCTCTGTTGCTTGGTCTTTGTGCTGAAGTTAGATGACGCTTTGGTCGCATTCACATACACGTTCTTCTCCTGAGGAGAGGTGTTACGTAAGTACTTTAAAGGGGACAGGTGCTTTATTCACTTTGAAAGGAAGCATCTAATGGGTGCCCAGGCCCACCTTAGTGTGTTTCTGTAACCACCCCCGCCCCCCAAAAAAACCAAACCCTTTGCTGTCGAGTCAGTTCTGACTCAGAGCCATCCGACAGGACAGAGCAGATCTGCCCCATAGGGTTTCCAGGGAGCAGCTGGTGGATTCCAACTGCCAACCTTCTGGTTAGCAGCTGTAACACTTAACCACCACGCCGCTAGGATTCCTCTGTAACCCCAGATGGAATTATGCAGAACTGCTGCAGAATCTACAGGTTTTTCTTTGTCTGTGGGGACAGTATGTGAGGAAGGGACTTGCTTCCTCTGAGACCATGAGTTAGGGTTGGCCAGAATAACTCAGCTGATAACTCTTGATTTCACTGCACCATGCTACTCCACTGATATTTGTTGGCAAGACCCTGGCCGTTCAAGGAATGTTACCTCTTTCTCAGTATGGCTTTAAACCAGTGGTTCTCAAGGGGGAACAATTTTGCCTCACAGGGGAGATATTTTTGGTTGTCCCAGCTCAAGGGATGCTCTGGTGTCCAGTAGGTAGAGGCCAGGGGAGCTGCTAAATGTCCTGCAGTGCCCAGGACAGCCCCATAACACAGAATTGTCCAGACAGAGACATCAGTGGTAACGAGGTTGAGAAACAGGTTTGCTCCAAGTAAAGCCAAAACCTGTGGCTGTGGAGGAGAAGTTCAGATACAGCGTTTCCTCCTGAACCATGTTCCTTTGCTGGTGTATCTGTTTACCCCATTACGGGGAAATTAAAATGTTTTCTTTCTTTTTTTGTACAACAAACGTGATTTAAAATGTTACAAAAACGTTTGATTTTCCTTAAAATGTTGTGAAAGTGTTCTGTTTGTGGGTCTAAAGCCCACCTTTTTAAAGATGTTATCAGTTCACACAAAGTAACTGGCCCTCCTGCGTGAAGCCTTTGGTCGCAGAAGGTGACAGGGCCTTGTTGTGCTTCTTTCAGCATCAAAGGCAAGAAAAACGTCTCAGTGTTCCGGGAAAATAACTGTTAAAGCAAAGGAGAAGAGTTACTCCAAACTCGAAATACCCTATCAGGCAGAAGTTTTAGATGGGTGAGTTTCTCTTAAATAAGCTTTCTGACTTTTTGTTAATCAGTAAATTCTGTTTTCCTAGTCATCAGAAATACCAAAAATAGTAGTCAAGTTCATATGAACTCTATGGGATTATTATTGAAAAGAACAAGCTTCTTAGAAGAAAAAAGTAAACGTTACGTGATTTTGGCTTAAATAAAGTCTTGATTCAATAATGCAGTATAAAAATGAATTATTGGACTTTTTTAATAATATAAAATCACTCGAACCATTTCTTTGCTGTTACTCCTTTTGTGACACATAGTGGTTGTGGCTTGTTATTTTGTCACTTGAAACAAAATAATTTATATTCTTTTATAGACTCAAACTCAGTTCTAGAATTATAACTTTTTTTAAACAGGTAATAACATGTAATTCATTTTCGAATTATAGTTAAACCAATAAGAGATTAATATCCAACTTGGTAGGGGTTCATTTTAACAAAGTTGTTGCAATTGAATGATAAACATGATTTTTAAAAGAGTAACTTAGAGCTTTTTCTGTTACTACATTTTTTATCTTGTTTGTTTACATGTCATTCAGTAGCAAACAGTTCTTTATATTACTTCAGTTATTTGCAGGCTAATTTTTATTTTAAATTATGTGCTCAGTCACTAAAATATTATTGTCCTAATTCTCTAATACAGTCCTCAGTGCTTAATGTAAATTATTATTGACAACAAAAGACCTTGGATTTTAAAGGAACACGTGGAAATAAAAGTGATTTATTTTGATTTTGTTTTTTTCCAATAGTTATTTGGGATTTGATCACGCTGCAACATTATTTCACATTCGAGACAGTCCTGCTGATCCAGTGGAAAGGCCAATTTATCTTACCAACACTTTCAACTTTGCGATCCTCATTCATGATGTTTTGCTACCAGAAGAAGCCAAAACAATGTTTAAAGTATGTCCGGGAACACTCGTACTTTTAATTTTATTGGCCTGCAAACTAGATGGTACTGACATGTTTTTTTTTCTCTCCCCTATTTCCTAGGTTCACAACTTCAGCAAACCAGTCTTAATTCTTCCAAATGAATCGGGGTACATTTTTACCCTGTTTTTCATGCCATCCACATCATCTATGCACATAGATAATAATATTTTACTTATTACGAATGCATCTAAATTTCATTTACCTGTACGGGTGTACACAGGCTTTTTAGATGTAAGTATATTCTCTACCTTTGAAATGTAAACTCCCTGTCCATTTTTTATAGGTGCCCTGGTGGCACAGTGGTTAAGCGCTTGGTTGTTAAGCGCTTGGTTGCTAACCGAAAGGTTGGCAGTTCGAACCCACTGTCTGCTCTGCAGGAGAAAGATGTGGCAGTGTGTGCCCATAAAGATTACAGCCTTAGAAACCCTGTGGGGGCACTTCTGCTCTGCCCACAGGGTCGCGATGAGTCAGAATTAACTCAGGGCAGTGATTTGGTTTGGGTTATCCATCTTTTGGGTTTTGAGATGTGATTAGACAATCGTGTTACACAGTCCTACATTTCACCATTTTTGTGCTCTACAAATGGGGCTGATCCCTTCCTAGTCACTTCATTCGAGAGAACCAATTTTTACCCCTCCCAGTGGGCCGCCTGTCTTGGTAACACAGCTGAACCCTCTAACTAGTCTCACGTAGATCTTCCCCACCTTCTACCTTTTCTTGGTTTTGCTTTTAACTGCCCTGAGGATGGAAAAGCTAAAAAAAGCACTAAATGGAAGACAAATAGCAGGTGGGAGAAAAGAAACGATAGTACAAGGAGAGTGAAGAGGGACTGTGTAGAGAAGAGATGTCTAAAAGCAGGGACTGTCTGGCTGCAGGAGGGGACCAGATAGTAAGGGAGTGAGTAAGGGTGGTAAAGACGCACCGTGGGAAGGGTGATCCAGATACTACCGGGGAGGAAAGCATAAAGGTGTTTCTGGTACAGAAAACAAGCCAAAAAAAACATCCAAACAAAGCTGTTCTTAGAGTATTCAGAGACAAACTTAGATCAGACATAAAACCGACAGGAAAGAGAGAAAGGATAAAAGGAGAAGTAGAACGTATAGAAACGCAGTCCTCCAAAAGTCGAAACCAGGCAGAATTTTAGAGCTGGAGGACCTTCGGTGTCATCCCACCCCTCCTCCATGTCGCCAGCTTACGCGATTGCTTCTTGTCGCTCTTTTCATGAATTCCTGATACCTGGTTATTACTTTAGCTTTATTTAATACTTCAGCTTCTCACTGCTTCTTTGTGCCTTCAGAGGGCAAATTTCAGCAGAGACCATGAGTGTTTTCATTTCTGATTAATGAAAATGTTTTCATCGTACCAAGTCCTTAACTATATTTTACATATGTGCATATATATGCATTTATATATGCATAGAATATAGAAGCCTTAGTATGTCTTAATATGGTTGCTTTCTCTTGATAACATTCTGTTATGTATTTTATTTTTACATCTCTTTTTCATTTTTGTGATTTTAAATTTAATCCTGTTCTTTTACATCTTTCCAGTACTTTGTGTTGCCCCCCAAAATAGAGGAGCGCTTCATAGACTTTGGCATACTGAGCGCAGCAGAAGCAAGTGATATTTTATTTGCAATTATAAACAGCAATCCAATTGAGGTAAAAACAAAATCCGTCTTTATTTTAAATCACATTTAAGAATTTTATGGGAGTGTTGGTGATAATCACTTCGTATCTTTTCTTTTTTAAGTTGGCTATAAAAAGTTGGCATATCATAGGAGACGGTTTATCAATAGAGCTTGTAGCTGCAGAAAGAGGCAATAGGACTACAATTATTTCAAGCCTTCCAGAGTTAGAAAAATCCTCACTATCAGACCAATCATCAGTAAGTAAACTTTGTTGTTTCTTTAAATGAACCTGTGTTTCTAAACCCCAGATAAAAGTTGAGCCCCGTGACCAACAGGTTTATGTGGTTCATAGTGACATCAATTATTTGGTCTTGAAAGGTCCTTGTAGATAACCAACTTCAGCCTCCTCCTGGTAGAATGATGGCACCAAAATCCAAAAGGGTTAAGTTCTACCTTGTTATAAAAACTTCCGTAACAAGCAAAATCAGAATTGTCTTTTTGTAACACAAATGTCAATGCAGGAGAAGTCTCACAGGTACTAAGCTAACCCCATGTTCATTGAGTATACTGCCCTGAACGTTGACAGAAAGTGTTTTCAATTATACGTTAATATTTCTGGCTGATTTTCTGTATTGATGAGAAGAGAGTCTCACCGAGGCAAATGTTTGTTTGACCCTCTGTGACTCTGTCCACGTCCTGTACTGCATCGTAAGTACGTGCCCTTGATTGTTAAGTGAGCCCTGAGCAAGAGAAAATGGATGTGCCAGTGTAAGCCCCACCACTGCTGAGACGGGAGCCTGGAGTTCACACCTGCGGAGAAAGGACTCACAGTTACTCGTGTGAGGAGGAGCGTCACATTCTCGTGGGAGGATGAGGATTGAAGTCCTTTAAAAGAGGAAGACCCTCAGCGATATGGACTGACACAGTGGCTGCAACAGCAGGCTCAAGCATAACAACGATTATGAGGACGGTGCAGGACTGGGCAGCGTTTCTTCTGTTGTACACGGGTCGCTAGGAGTCAGAACCAACTCAACAGCACCTGACAACAACAACAATGCTAATGATTAGGGTACAACTTCACAAAATGAATTTCTTGTTTATTAGAGATGATTGAAGAGAACAAGTGCAAAAAACATCAAATAGCTTGAGAAAACAGATAAAGTCCCCATTCTTCTTTCAAATGTTTGCTGTTTAACTCTTCTTCTTCCCATGAATTTTGGTGTTTTGTTATGACGCAGTCTCAGTTGCTGTGAAGACATGACCGTTAACATTACAGCGTAACTTTCCAAGCTTGAAGCAGAACAACTTTGTGTGTACCTGTGCCCTCATGTCACTGAAGGGTTGTGTCCCTCTGCTCTACCCTCACTCCTTTTGGCCCTATAGATAATGTGGGTGTTGAGTGAGGAACTCTACTGGCAGAGAACCATACCCCCTCCCCAGCTTGGCAGCTGGGAGTCTTGACTGTGCCTCCTGGAACTAGCTTTCTGGATGGCCCATGTAGTACATGCAGTAGACAAGCATCCAGGGATGGGCATTATCTTAAGATGTTTGTTCACTGGTACAGTAATTCAGTGTCATACTGGTTCTCGGTTGGGGTTTGAAAGTCAGTTTATCACTATAGCCTTGATTTCTGTTTTAATATGAAACTTCAACAAGCAAGGCTAATGAATGATGTTATTTCTATTACATACAGGTAATATTAGCTTCAGGCTATTTTGCTGTATTCAGAGTCAAACTTACTGCAAAAAAACTAGAAGGGATTCATGATGGAGCCATACAGATCACAACAGATTATGAGGTAAGGACTTCATGGGGTTTTTCTGAATAATTCAGTCCTTTTTCATTTTTATAGGAACAGAGAAATAAGTCTGCTCATAAAGTTATAGTTTGCCAGTTTGATATAGTTAGTTTTCTGTAGTTCCATAGATTTTGAGAAATTAGAGAGTGGTTTGCGGAAGATTGATGTTCATTGGCGTGTAGTTTTCTGACAAAACCCAAACCTTCTGAACTAAGAGAGCGATGCCAGGAAAATGCTTTGGCACACTTAGAAGTCTCTGTTAGAGTCCTGCCTACAGAGCCTGGTGGAAACACTGCTAAGCTAGTTATCTTGATTCTCTCTGCAACGTAAGTATCCACTTGTGTAACATTTCCAAAAAGGAGGATAAAATGAAGGAATTATGTCTTAATTTGAGTTCTCATGTTTATTTATATGATTCATTCTGAGTCAAGGGACGAAAAGATCATTGAGCTTTTTAAAGACTCTACAAAGAGAGTTTGACATGTTGCATTCAGTAAGATTTTGAGTGACTGTATTTCTGCCACGCCGAAATATTTATTTAATATTTAAAGCTCTTTGGGAAGTGGAATACTGCTCCATTTAACCAGTTTCTACCCTGTTCTCAGCATACACAACTCCTGCATGAAAGAAAACTAACTACAGAGTGAACAGAATTGGCCGTTTAATAACAAATAATATATCGGGCATATGTCAAATTAATGCCCTCCGAAAGTGAGGAATTCCTATTTATCACTCATGGTCAAAATAAGTACATTTCAGAGTTAGTGTAAGTCTTTGTTAGCATGGACGAAAATAAGAATTAAGAGAAAATATCCTAGAGAAATAGCTTTGTGAGTTACGAATTGAGCTTGAGTTGAGATTCTAAATCTAGAATGTTCAACTCATTTTTTTTAAATTAGGTTGATGTTATTTTATTTCTATATACAAAAAAATAGAGATCTGTATAATTCCAGAAAATGCTGGATTTTTTCACACGTTTTATGAGTACAATTTGACTTTCCTTTTTAAATTAATAATCTGCAGGTACTTGTGCAAAATCTGTCTTCATTCCCTCCCCAGTGTTTAGTCTTGTTAACCGTGTGAGAAATTCACTGTATTTTATGAAATACATTGGACAGCTAGATTAAACGATTTCTGTGGGTGATTTCAGTATTGGTTATGAGCTGGTCCTTGCCAGTATAAATCCCAAGGTGAGTAGTTTTTATTCCAAAAAAGTAATGCAATAATTGCTGAGCGCAAACTCAGACTTAACCACGTATTTCTTCCTGGTCCACTTCTCCCCTCCACAGATCTTAACAATTCCTGTGAAGGCTGTGATTGCAGTGGGCTCCCTTACCTGCTTCCCAAAGCACATGGCTCTCCCACCTACCTTTCCAGTAAGACACTTGACAGACTTTCTGACTAATTTCTTTCCTTTGACTTTACCTTTATGCTCCTAGAATTCAACAGTAAAGTCGGTTATTCTTTATTAATCATTTATTATAAGGCAAGACACGGTGCGAGGTTCCTAAGGAGATATAAAGAGGAATAAAAAATAGTCCTTTCTGTCAAAAACTTTTCTACCTGGAATGGGAAATGGACCCATGATTCATAGATGTAAAGCAGGGTGTAGAAATTGCCCAAAGAGGAGTGAAAATAAAGTGCTGTGAGGAAACCCACGGCCAGTTGACGAAGGTGTCCTGTGAGCTGGCTTACACTTCCTTATGGCAGGGATAGGTAAGGCTGTTCAGACGCCTGCATTCGGGACCCAGGGAACAACCTGAGTAAAGACACAGAGGCAGTAAAGCCTGAAGTAGGTTCAGGCAATAGTGAGTCATCCAGTTTGGCAAGAATGGAGGCAGGTTTTAAGAGAGAAGATGGGATGATGTGCTGGGGTGAAAGCATGAAAAAAATGCATTTAGACCCATGGAGACCCACAGTTTTGTAGCGGAGGCTTGACATGGTCAGAGCTCAGCTTTAACGACTGGCACTCTGGCAGAGGTAAATTCAGGAAGCGCATGGAAGTACCAGTAGAGTGCCAGAAGCAGGGACGCCAACCTGGAAACTGGCCGGAGTCCACACAACAGGTGACAAAGGCAGGCTTGAATTTAGGGCCGTGGCACAGGCAGTAAACCAGCAACCAAACCCATTGCCATTGAGTCAATTCTGATTCATAGCGACCCTCTAGGACAGTAGAACTGGCCCATAAGGTTTCCAAGGCTGTAATCTTTATGGAAGCAGACTGCCACATCTTTCTCCCACAGAATGGCTGTGAGGTTCAAACCACTGACCTTTTGGTTAGCAGCCGAGCACTTAACCACTGCACCACCAGGGCTCCTTGGCAGAGGTAATAAAACCTTTTATACGCCCAAGCCTTTGCTGTTCCTTCTATCGTGAACGCCCTTCCTCGTCTCCTCCCTTCAAAGAACACGTCTTTTAAGGTACAGTTAAATCGTCATCCCCTCTCTGAAGACTTCTGGAGTCCTCTAAACAGCACCAGGTCTTCCCTGTGTGATCCTGGAACTCTTGGAAAATACCTCTCTTGTAGCAAGCCTCTCATTGTGCAGTAATTATTTTTTGATACGTTGATTGTCCGGCTGAGGGATCTTTGTATCCCCGGTAGGTAGTGGATGGCTGAAGGAACAGAATGATGGCGGGGGAACATAGGTAAGAGACTCTTCGGGTGTATCATTTGACCTGTACTTGAGCGTCCTCAGGAGGTCATAGTAACTGAAGCAGGTATGAGGAGACAGGTAGATAGGGACATCAAAGTTCTGACCTGGGTTTGAGCCGGAGAAACAAGGAGAAAAAAAGTGAGAAAAGCAGGAACAGGCACAATTGATCAGAGTTATTTAATTTTAATTAAAGTCCCTATGCTGTGTGTGTGTGTGCGCGCGCTTTAAGTGAAAGTTTACAGCTCCAGTTAATTTCCCATTCAAAGATGTATACACATATTGTTTTGTGACATTGGTTGCCATCCTCACCATGTGACAGCACACTCCCCCTTTCCATCCCGGGTTTCCTGTGTCCATTAGTCCAGTTCCTGTCCCTTCTTGCCTTCTCGTCCTGCTTTTGGACAGGAGCTACCCACTTGGTCTCGTATATTTGGTTGAACTGAGAAGCACATTCCTCGTGTGTACCATTTTTTGTTTCATAGGGCTGTCTAATCTTTGAAAAGTGGACTTCAGAGATGGTTTCATTTCTAGGTTAGCAGAGTGTCTGGGAGCCATAATTTTGAGGCTTCCTCCCGAGTCAGTCAGACCACTGAGTCTGTTCTTTTCATGTGAATTTGAATGTTGTTCTACATTTTTCTCCTGCTCTGTCTGGGACTCTCTGTTGTGTTCCCTGTCAGGGTGGTCATTGGTGGTAGCCGGGCACCATCTAGTTCTTCTGGTCTCAGGCTGGTGGAGTCTCTGGTTCATGTGGTTCTTTAGTCCTTTGGGCTGGTATTTTCCTTGTGTCTTTGGTTTTCTTCATTCTCCTTTGCTCTGGGTGAGGTGGGACCAATAGGTGTACCTTAGATGGCCACTGGCAAGCTTTTAAGACCCCAGACACTACTCACTAAAGTAGGAAGTAGAACATTTTCTTTGTAAACTGTGTGATACCAGTTGACCTAGATGTCCCCTGAGACTATAGTCGCAGTCATTGCAAAATCTTAATGCTGTATAGAATAAAATCTCAATTCAAAATGTAGCTCTCTAAAAATAGAAATTTTGAATGAACAGTTTTAGCACATTTAAGCTCAGGTCTTAATTAAGTCTTCTTCCTGTCATTCCACTTTGTATCAACTTTACAGAATTCTTGATTCCATTATTTATCCGGAAGGACCTTGTTGCTTCTCTTACCTGCTCAGTCAGTGATCCCAGAAGGGAGAGTTCAGTTCAGAGGAGGGTAGATGACACAGTGGAAGAGCCCGCGGGTGGAGAAGATGAGGAAGCGTCTGTACGAAACTAAGGCCTGGCAGTGTGCTTCTCTAAAATTACAGCCAAGACAACCATAGAGAGCTGTTCTACTCTGTCATGGTTTGAATTGTGTCCCCCCAAAAATGTGTGTATCAATTTGGCTAGGCCATGATTCCTGGTACTGTGTGATTTTCCTGTATGTTGTAAACCTGCCTCTATGATGTTAGTGAGGGAGGATGGGTGGCATTTGCGTTAGTGAGGCAAGACTGGATCTGCAAGACTGGATTGTGTCCTGAGGCAATCTCTTGAGATGTAAATGACAGAAGTGAGCAGTGAGACAGGGGGACCTCATACCATCAAGAAAGCAGTGCCAGGAGCAGAGCACGTCCTTTGGACAGGGGTCCCTGTGCCGAGAAGCTCCTAGTCCGGGGGAACACCGAAGAGAAGGCTGACAGAGAGGAAAAGCCTTCCGCTGGAGCTGACACCCTGAAATTGGACTTGTAGCCTACTTTGACTGTGAGGAAGTAAACTTGTTTTCATTAAAACCATCCACTTGTGGTATTTCTGTTATAGCAGTACTAGAAGACTAAGACATACTCTGTAACATGTGGGGTTACCGTGAGTCGGAAATGACTGCAGTACGGTGGGTTTTGCACTACTTCAGATCAAGCTTTCAGGTATCTTTAGATGCCTTACCAAACTCAATATTGCTTTGAATTACAAATTAACTGTCTATTACCAAATTCTGTAAAATCTGTCTTATCAGATAGTCAGATCTAGCCAGATAACCTAGAGTTGATTACTTAATGTTTGAATAGAAATTGTAAAACAAACTCTTCTATCTGTTACCTCTTTTGATCCCACCACACCCCTGAGAAACGGGCCTGAGGGAAGTAGCGCCTACAGGTACATAAAGATCAGGTGACATAGGATGGGCGACACAGCTGAGCAGAGCTAGCACAGGTCTTCTGCTCCCTGTCCTTCCCATCCCAGCAGCTTACCTGCCCTCTCATGTGTTTCTACTGTGTTTTACTCTCACTAGGCTGTAAACGGAGCCCTGGGGGCATAGCGATTAAGAGCTCGGCTGCTAACCAGAAGGCCGGCTGCTAACCAGAAGGCCGGCTGCTAACCAGAAGGCCGGCAGTTCAAATCCGCCAGCCACTCCTTGGAAATCCTATGGGGCAGTTCTGCTCTGTCCTGTAGGTTCACTATGAGTCAGAACCAACTTGACAGCAAAGGCTGTAAATGACTAAGAGTTGACCTTAACCTCAGTCGTTCATCTTTGTCCTGTGCGTTCCCTTAACTTCTGTGTCTTTTAATATCAAGTGTTAGACCAGTGGGTTTGATCATTTTAGAGGCCTCTTCATATGGCTGGGAATCAGATGCACAGCCTCGCCTTGGTATAAACAAACCTTGCTTAACCGGCTACAAGTGACCATTTCCTTTATTTAAAGTTATCTCTGTTTGTACCTTGTTGACGTTCTCAATATTTTAATGTGAAACTGTAACCATATTTACTTTATTTTCACAAGATTGCAAAGATTTTTCCTGCTAATTTTTCTGTAACATGCCACCACAACAAAAAAAAATTGGGGTGGGGGTGAGGGGGAAGGAGTTGGGGTTCTGATTACAAACTGAGGGATTATCAACTGATGAAAATTTTAAATGTTCTTTGGGCTCTGGTTTCCTAGAAATACGCCTGTCAGCACTAAAGCGTGTATTTTAAGAAAACCCAACCATATACACATAAGTGTTTTTTTTTCTTTTTTCCTTCAGGGGAAGGTAGTCCATCAAAGTTTAAATATCATGAATTCCTTCTCACAGAAGGTAAAGATACAGCAAATTCGTTCTTTGTCAGAAGACGTGCGATTTTACTACAAACGATTACGGGGCAACAAGGAAGACTTGGAGCCGGGAAAGAAATCAAAGGTTTGAAAATGTTGTATTTGGGAATTCCCATCCGTTAATACTTTGTTATTGTGATCTTTTGTGTACTGGGGATTCATGGTTCTCCTGTGCCTCTTTATAGATTGCAAACATTTATTTTGATCCTGGACTGCAGTGTGGGGATCATTGCTATGTTGGCTTGCCTTTTCTATCCAAATGTAAGTTCCTTGGTGCTTCCCTCTCATGCCCTTCACTCCCCCAAACGTTTTTAATAAAAGGCTGCCACTTTTAAAGTCCATCCTGTCTCTCGGGACGCAGAATCATTTGAAGGAAAATGGACTAGTGGATAAGATGTAGGGCAGAGTATGTCATTCTGTTCGTTTCCTTGTTTCAGCTGAAGCCAAAGTGCAGCCTGGTGTTGTCATGCAGGAGGACCTCTGGGAGGCTGACTGGGACCTGCATCAAAGCCGCTTCAAAGGATGGATGGGGCTAAAGGAGAGTTCCGGTCACAGGTGAGTGGGTTTGCTTTTTAGCTCTCGTTGTAAGTTTGGAACTTCTCGGTTAGTGTTACTTTCTAAATGTTATTCTTACATTAGATTGCTTTGCTTCTTTACAGCTGAGAAGGAGCCCTGGTGGTGCAGTGGTTAAGAGCTCAGCTGCTAACCCAAAGGTCGGCAGTTCAAATCCACCAGCCACTCCTTGGAAACCTGTGGGGCAGTTCTGTTGTGCCCTGTAGGGTCACCATGAGTCAGAATTGACTTGATGGCAGTGGGTTTGGTTTGGGTTTATAGCTAAGAAAATATGCCTAAGCTTCGGAAGTTATTAACAAGTCATCATAAATTGATATTGTAACCATACGTCACTCAGAAATGTACACACTACCATTTTTCTCATTTCTCCCCTAGACACATCCTTAAATCAGGCTGTTTGAAGTTGTCTTTATGTGGGACAACTTCTGTGTGCTCTTTAGACATGGCCATTTGCATAAGGAAGCACTTTTTTACCTACCATTGCCCTCTGTTAAAGGCAAAGAAAACATTTTCTAGGTTTAATCCCATAGTCGGAGACAGAGTGCATATTTGCTCATTGCGAAAAGAATTACCTGCTCAAACATCTGTGTCCCTTTCCAAGTGCTGAGCTGTTAAAGGGCAGACAGGCACAGTTCAGATGGGCACCACCCTGTGTCTCTGGCAGATAGAAAATGTTCTAGTGACAAATCAGTACTGTACCTGGACGTGCTTGTTTGGCAGTGTGGAGAGTCGGTCTTTTCAGGTACTTCAGAGGGAAAAATGACTAAAATAATGAGAATATGAAAACCGCTCCTCTTGGCCGGCTAACTTGAGGTATGTTTTCAGTATCACTGACATATTCCAGTTCATCCCAAAACCCACTGCCATCGAGTCATTTCCAACTCATAGCGACCCTATAGGACAGAGTAGAATTGCGCCGTAGGGCTTCCAGGGAGCTGCTGGTGGATTTGAACTGCCGACCTTTTGGTTAGCAGCCGAGCTCTTAACTACTCTGCTACCAGGGCTCCATTCCAGTTTATAGGACTGTAAAATTCTCAAATCACTCAGGACCTTCTTTTATCGAAACTGCTTTATCTGCTGTGAAAGTTTTCATAAAGCAAAGGAGTTAAGTTTTTGCTTTAAAATGGTGAAAATAAGTACAAAGACACTTCTCCCAATGGACTCAGTAAGAGAACACTAATTAAAACTCCCCTTGGTCCCTTATACTTCCACAGCGGACATTATAAAGTACAGAGAGTCCTCACATTTTAACATCCAGTTATGAACCAATAGCGTGTAGTGCTGCCCTAGGCTCAGCTGGCAGGGAACCTCATCACCTCCCACCACCAAAGCCACGCCTTGCTGTCTGCTACCCAGCATCCCGAGGCTGAAGACCTGGACTTCTGTCTGCCCCGGGCCGCTGTGTCCCAGTCACACAGTGAATGTGACATTCTCCCTACGCCTTGTAAATGTACATGTGACAGAGAATTTCCACCCCTACTCTTATAAAACCTGTGCTCTTACCAGTATTAGAGTATCATAATTCAGTAGTAGATGAGTTAAAATGGGCTCCAGTGGTTGGGCCCAGGGACCTTAACCCCGTTGACAATACTGTCTCCTTAGGAAATATGCTCGGAGTTCTAAATATCTGGCTTATAACTCCTAAGTAGGGAAATGTTCAAATAGGGTCCTGAATATTGCTGGAAATGTCACATACATCTGAATAAAACCCTCATATGTGTGACATCTTCAACTGAAGTTTTCATTGGATTTCAGAAATCCACTGCCTTCTCTTAAGTTCTACTGGAAATGTTCTTAGCACTCTGCTGCTGGTGTTAGATCTTTCCCCTAGGCTTGCAAGAGCCTTTAGGAATCCCCATAGCATCATATGTCTGTGAATACAGGATTTATAGCATTTCTGCATATTCCTGCCTTTTTTCAATATGTTACCTAATATAGCCCAGCTTTCAGCTTTGGTCTTTATTGAATTTATACATTAAAAAGTTTTTCAGGACTTACACAGGATTGCATTAATGCTGTTGGTACTAGTTCTAAGATTTGTCATCCTTTACATATTCAGCAGGAAAACAATACAGGTGAAATATTTTGGCAGTTCTTTGTGCCAGATAGAGACGTCATCATATAACGTTAGAAAAGCAGAGTGAAATATTAGCGCAGTAGACCTGTTTTTTCTGGCCCAGAATAAAATTTCTCAAGTACACAAGCCTAATAGAATCCCTGTATTCAGAAAACTCAAATATTTCATTTTGGTAACAGTGACTTATAAATTGTTTTTCCAGACTGAGCGCTGTATTTGAAGTAAATACAGACCTTCAAAAAAATATAGTATCAAAAATCACTGCCGAGCTCACCTGGCCTTCTGTCCTTAGCTCACCCCGGCACTTGAGATTTCCACTCACCAACACAAACTGCTCATCGGTAAGTACTCAAGGTGACCTCGGCTTTTGAAAACACATAGGAGGGTCTAAGTATCTGGTCTTGCTTTTAATTATGGTTACCTTTCATTTCACGTTTTCTTTCTTTGTTTAAGGAAGAAGAGATCACTGTGGAAAATCCTGCCGATGTTCCCGTCTACATTCAGTTTATTCCTCTGGCTTTGTATTCCAGCCCTTCAGTCTTTGTAGATAAGTTAGTATCAAGGTAAGCTTTGCTTTAGATAATCAAAGTATTTCTGTTTGTGTATTAGCATTAAGTTATTATCGTACACATTTAAGACCTTACTACAGCTCCTACAGTAATAGATTTATTTGGCTTAGAGAAATTCTGGATCTATAATTGAAGTTACGAGGAGGTTCCGGGGAGGGAGGTTGATACTGTGTTAAGCATCTGGAAAAACTTTCAGCTTCAGACAAGAAAAAGTAACATGGAGCTCCTTCCCAGATAATTTATAAAGAGAAAGCAAGTGGAACCTTCAAACATTTCAGTTAAAAAAAAAAAAAAGAAACAAAATATTGATTGTAAATTGTGGCTTTTAATTTTTTAAAGATTATTAATCTGGTAATATGCCAAAAGATAATAGGCAGATAAAGCATGGACTTGCTAATTTCTCCATAACCCTTTTAATTATGATGATGTTTACAAAGAAATGTATGTATGTTTTTAATTTTAGGTTTAACTTGAGTAAGGTGGCAAAGATAGATTTGAGAACACTAGAATTCCAAGTCTTCAGAAATAGTGTGAGTATTCAGAATTCTTACTCTTCCAAAGAAATAATTATATGATTCTATCAATGCAAATGTGAAAGAAAACTATTGACTGCCCGTAAATTTGGCTGAAAGGCGAGTTACTGGAGGCAGTCAGAGTGGTCCAGTATCATTCGAGACAAAGAAACCGGAAAGAGTGGATGAGATTTAGATTAAAGTGAGGCACGCTGAGTAGAAGGCTCTGTGTTCCTGTCTGCAGGCATTACGTATGAAGCACATGAAGGTTTATATAATAGCTATCAGAAATTCTGAGAATATATAGATGAGGTATGTATGAGTACGTAGTTTACTTTTATTAAGCATCAAAATATTGAGCTTGCTCACTGAAATTTAAATTCAGGATACTTTCCAATAAAATTGTGTACTCCATGAATGCCAGACCCAGGGCTGGCTGCATTCACCTGTGCCCTGGGCTCCAGGGTGCCTAGCACGGTCACGGGCAGCTTTCCACTCAGTAGGTATTCTTGAGTTAATCAATGTGTACGTAAACTGTTCCCTGTCATACAGAGCAGGCCGAGCAACCGCTGCCGACTCATTATTACATAAGGCCTTAGTGCAGGCTGTGTATCGGTCAGGAGGTCAACAGTTGGAGTTAGAGCCTCCTACAAGCTGCCCCCCACACCCTGCTTTCTGCCCAGCCACGTCTCATCCATCCTTAAACACCTTGCCCCTGAGGCCAGCCCTGCTCACTGTGGAGCCTCCACTGACTAGGCTCCTTGATTCTCCCTGACTTCATTCACACCCACGTTAACTTCATCTTTTGCTTTCTTTTTGTTAAGTGATATCTTGTTCCCCAATTTGGGAATGGGGGGGCGGTCTCTAAGGCTGAGGGGAAAGAGTTAGTGGAGAGGGAGAGGGAAGGCTGATGGAGGAAGGTTCCTTTGCTGAACAAAGCTTGTTCCAGCTTCAGTCTTTGCCCTTGCTATTCTCTCTGCCTGATGTGCTCTAGGCTTTTTGAAAAGTCTGCTCCTCATCCTTCAGATCTCACCCCAGATGCCATTTCAGCAACCAGGAAACCAAACCAGACCCATTGCCATCAAGTCGATTCTGACTCATAGTGACCCTATAGGACAGAGTAGAACTGCCCCATAGGGTTTCCAAGGAGTGGCTGGTGGATTCGAACTGCCGACCTTTTGGTTAGCAGCTGACCTCTTAACCACTGTGCCACCAGGGCTCCTCCTTGTTCTGTTGAAGGGAAGAAAACCAGCCTAGGAAGAGGAAGTAACTTGCCCAAGGTCAAACCTGTGATAACGGCCAGGGCCAAACTCAAGTCTAGTTCTCTCAGATCCCAGAGCGCTTGTTCTTTCTATTTTACTACGTGGTTGTTGCTGATTGTCGTTGTTAGCTGTCATGGAGCCAGTGTCAGCTCATGGCAGCCCTTGCTCGCGGAGTAGAACTGCTCCAAAGGATTTCCAAGGCTGTGACCTTTCAGAAGCAGATTGCCAGGCCTGCCTTCCGAGGCTCCTCTGGGTGGGTTCGAACCGCCAGCCTTTTGGCCAGTAGTAAAGTGCCTAAGCGTTTGCGCCACCTAGGGACTCCCCATTGCTGATTGTTGTTGTCGGGTGCCATCAAATTGGTTTTCAAATCATAGCGACCCAGCGGGACAAAGTAGAACTGTACTGTAGGGCTTTCTAAGCTGTAACCTTTGCAGGAGCAGATGGCCAGGTCTCTTCTCCCTCAGAGCTGCTGGGTGGGTTCGAACAGCCGACCTTTCCATTAGCAGTCGAGCACTTAAACATTGTGCCACCAGGGTTCCTTCGTTGCTGACTAGGAATTGCTCGTTAACCTTGTGGAACCAGAAGTTTCGAAATGTTTTGTTCTTTTCTGTAACTTTGTGTTTTAATCTATAAGGCATACGTCAGCCAAGACTTTATAGTTTTTATAAGTCTGTCTTTAAGTCAGTCTTGTATAAGAAAATAATTTTCAATGTATTTTTTCTGCCAAATGATCTAATTTTGGTGACTTACAGATATAGGAGCCCTGGTGGTGCAGGAAGGAGCCCTGGTGGCACAGTGGTTAAAGCGCTCAGCTGCCAACCGAAAGGTCGGCAGTTCAAACCCACCGGCCGCTCCGCAGGAGAAAGATGTGGCAGTCTGCTTCCATAAAGATTACAGCCCTGGAAACTCTATGGGGGCAGTTATGCTGTGTCCTACACGGTCACTGTGAGTCGGAATCGACTTGACAGCAGTGGGTTTGGTTTCTTGGTTTTAAAGATACAGACATAAATATGGCTCTAGACAGGATTGCTGTAACCTGTTTTCCCTACTTTTTGAACACCCGCTATATGCTGGTCACTGGTGAGGCACAGGGGATACAGTGATGAACAAGCCCGGCAGACCTCCACTCAGAAACTAATACCGTCACCTGGCAGTGACACGGGTACGTGTGAACCAGTGAGTTAACAGCTGAGTTCGGACAGAGTGGAGAAAGAGCAGGTGATGCGACAGTAATAACCTGATTTAAGTGGAGTGTCTGCAGAGTCCCCTTTGAGGACCAGCACTGCACCGAGACCTCTTTAACTACTAAGAGATGCTGTGAGTGTAAAGACTGAGCTGAGGTTCATCAGGCTTGGTTCATCAGAAGAAGAAAGAGAAAGCGGCGAAGCTGGACTGTAGCGAGGGAGGGAAGAGACCCACGGGGAGAAGTAGCAGGAGCCAGACCCGCGAGGCCCCTCAGGCCGCCGTGAAGAGCTGACGCTTAATTCTGAGTGCCTTTGGGGAGCCCTAGGGCCATTCTGAGTATGATGTGACCTCTAGAGAACATAGTGTAGGTTGTGTGACAGTCGTTTGTTCTGATCTCATGCCCTTCTCTTGCACTCTTTTGTGTGCTTTTTCATCCATAAAACTCAAATGTAACAAACTCTGAGTGATCTGGACTCAAAATAACTGGGAAGCTCAATAACCAGAACTTCCTTCCACTCACCTTTGACAAAGGATTGGGAAAATATCCGTAAGTGAGAGGCTAATGTTTGCCTTTTATCCTATTGAGTACAAGTTCTGTAGTGGTGGGCACACGATGTCAAACGCCAACCCTGTGAGACAAGAGGATGAGTAAAAACACTCCAGACCTCAGAGACTTACCTAGATGAGAATCCTGGAGGAGGCCCTGGGGTGAGCTTGGGATACATCCCACCCAGCTCCCTGCAGCACTGCAAAACGGATTCTCAGAGTCCTGGTCTCAGGACTCACAGTCTTAACCATTATTAAGGACCCCAGAGAGTGTTTTTGCTTCTGTGGGTTACATCTATCAGTATTTACCATGTTAGAAATAAAAAGTGAGATCTTTAAAATATTGATTATTTAATTCACCTAAAATAATAAACCCCTTCCACTTAACACTGATAACATTTTTATGAGAAATAAGCATATTTTAAAAAAAAAAAAAGATTTTACAGGAAGAGTGACATTGTTTTACGTTTTCTGCAAATCTCCTTAGTGGCCCTCTGACTTAATAGACAGCTAGATTCTCATATTTGCTCTGCATTCGATCGATCGGGATAATATTGTTTTGGTTGAAGTATATTAAGAAAATCTGACCTGATGCAGACGTGTTGTTGGGAAAAGGAGGAGTATGTGAATTAGCTTTCAGTTAATTATGGACATTCTGCTTTGACGCTGCACCAAATCTCATGAGGGGCAGTTTGTAAGTTAGCCACAGTGTGGGATCTAAAATCAAAGCAGTGGATTTCTCACGCGTTCTTACATTGAAATCATTCGCCTGTTGCTCCCTGCGCGGGTGCGGCACCACGCACCAGTCATTTGGAAAATACAGGTTCACTGAGATACGAAGATCTTCCAAATGTTGACACAACCAGAACAGTACAATTTTTCTTTTTAAAAACTTTCTCATTGTTATAACTACCGAGCTCGTCGGAATATTCTTTAAGTGTTGGGAAGCTGTCAAGCTCACTGCAGTGAATAAGAGTCTTTAAAAATTTTTGCTCAAAAGCTCAAATTTTATCACTGGCAACAAATAGTTTAGTAATTTCTCTCAAAGGGATAGACTCACTTCATCTTCATGAAAACGTCTGCCAGATAACCAAGCCTAAATAAGCATAGACGGGCTGTCAGTCATTCTTTCAAATAGAAACATGTTCCGTGAAAAAAGCAGCTAGTTCAGTTTGCCGGTCAAATAACAGCTTCTGGAGACAAGTGCTTGATGGGTGATTATCACTTTGTCACACAGAGTATTAAAAAGACGTGCTCAAGGGTAGAGATGTAATGAAATTTAAAAAGATTCATTTGCTAATGGAGAACTTTTTTGTGCGTGGCTGTGAAGAATATACTCCTCATCAAGGCTAAGGAGTCAGCAGTTTTGCCCACCACTGCTTTTGCTGACAATCATTAGTGCAAATGTCAACACAGTGAAAAAGCAAACAACATCTATTGATTATTATGAAAAGAGTTTTGCGTTGCACACACAGGTTGCCTCAGAGGCAGTCTTAGGATCTCAAGCCACAAGATTACTAGGATGAGAACCCCAACCAGTAGCAGTCATTCCTCCATGGATGCTACATCCATCCTGTCCTATCGAGTCACATACACGAGACACTGACACAGTGTTGGCAATAGTGAAAACTGTTGATCACTTGCAGAAAGCAGCTGGCTTTTATTTACAGATAACATCAACCAGAGTAACCATCCAGAAATCAAAGACCAAAGTAAACACCCAGAATCCCTTATCCATTTATCCTTTCTTCTCCAAAACTCCATGCTTCCCTGAGTCAGGAGTCATTGCATTGGATCCCACTTCTACTGACACCAATTTGTGGTATCAGACCAGTCCAGGGAGATCTCAGCTTGCCTTCCCTGGTCAGTCTAGAACCCAGCTGTCCACACAGCCGTTTATCTCAGCCTGGGCTAAGTCATCGAGTGCTGGCAGAAGCTAGGGAGTCCACACCACTCCCCCCACTTCAGAATAGCCATCTCCAGCTTTGGGGTTTTCCTCTACCCGCTCAGGGTACGTGGCAAGCTAGGAAGTCCATATGATTCCCTCCACTTCAGACCAGCTGGTCCCACTACTCCCTTGTTGTTGTTAGGTGCCATTGAGTCAGTTCTGACCCATAGCGACCCTGTGTGCAAAGAACAAAACACTGCCCGGTCCTGGGTCATCCTCACAATCATTGCTATGTTTGAGCCCATTGTTGCAGCCTCGTGTCAGTCCATCTCGTTGAGGGTCTTAGGGCCTTTCACTGACCCTCTACTTTACCAAGCATGATGTCCTTCTCCAGGGACTGGTCCTTCCTGATAACATGCCCAAAGTACATGAGACGAAGTCTCACCATCCTCACTTCTAAGGACCATTCTGGCTGTACTTTTTCCAAGACAGATTGGTTCATTCTTGCAGTCCATGGTATATTCAGTATTCTTCACCAACACCATAATTCAAATGCATCAGTTCTTCTTCGGTCTTCCTTATTCATCATCTATCTTTTGCATGCATATGAGACGATTGAAAATACCATATGGTTAAGAGCTTGGCCGCTGATGAGAGTTGACAGTTTGAATCCACCAACTGCTCCTTGGAAACCCTAGGGGGCAGTTCTACTCTGTCCTATAGGGTCGCTGTTGGGGGGTGCTTCCATGGGCCACTGCTCCCTTAGGTCTGATAATTTGGTGCAGTGACTCACCAACTCCTGGAAAAGGGGTGTCTTTAATTCAGCAGAGAAAGGATACAAACACAAAAAGGGTGAGGTCTAGAAGGGGGTCTTTGTGTCCCCAGGGACGTGTGGTCCTCCCCTAAGAAAAACAAACCAATTGCCATTTAGTCAATTCGGACTTATAGTGACCCTGCGCCATCAATCCTGAAGCTCCAAGGAAGTTTCAAGGTCCAGGGTCTTTTGTAATGGTCATTGGGCCTCAGTGCATAGTCATGATTGGTGTCTCATTGCATATGCACGGCCAGTCAAATCAGTGAATATACATGATCGATTGCATCATGCCCCCTTCCCTTTCTGAAGTCATTTGCCAAGTGTGGTCTTTGGGGTTCCCACTACATTTGCACATGTGTCAGTGTTGTCTGGCTATTTTATGTAATAAAGGCACCTCGAATACTGACAAATTCTAAGGGTTATTTTCAGGAAACCAGAGACAAAGGCCAAACCAAGTTCTCTGTTCTTCAAGTTGTGACATCTTGGATTCCTTGAAAGGATCCCTGATATCCCCAGGGGTCCCTGGATGACTCTTTGAGAACTACCGCTATAAAGTTACTGAGGCCCTTAGTGATTTACCGGTGGCATCACCGTATGCTGAAGTGCTTCCCAAGTCGTCAGAGTTTAAACTAGCTAGTGTTTGTTGGGAATGTAGGTGTATGTATGTGTAGTATATGTCTAGTTGGAAACCCTGGTGGCACAGTGGTTAAGAGCTACGGCTGCGAACCAAAAGGTCGGCAGTTGGAATCCACCAGCTGCTCCTTGGAAACCGTACGGGGCAGTTCTGCTCTGTCCTACAGGGTCGTTATGAGTCGGAATCGACTCAACAGCAACAGGTTATGTGTAGTATATAACTGTGTCCATCAATTACTCAGAATACTTTATTTAAAAGGAAACTTACTCGCCATCCATTTTGGAGCAATCAGAATATTGTTGTCCTGCTTTGACAGACAGGAATGTTACGTGCAGAAAAAAATACTTACCTCAAAAGTGAGAGTTAAAAGTAATGTGCTTCATTAAGTCTGTCTGTGTATTAAACCTCAGTATGCCAAGTGGAATAGAAAATAGTATAAAACTCACTCTCCTTCCGCACGTCTGCAGAGCCATGAAGGGCCATGGACATGGGCAGCCGAATGTTGCCGAGCCTTCACCCCAAAAAGTTTCCACTTAGTGTTGCCTAAAATTCATAACACTGTATCCTTAAATATGAATTATGATGTTTTTAAAATAAAAGGCAATTTTTTTAAAATTGTGCTTTAAGGGAAAATTTACAGTTCAAGTTAGTTTCTCATACAAAAATTTATACAAACACGGTTATGTGACCCCAGTTGCTCTCCCTATACTGTGACAGCACACTCCTCCTTTCCACCCCGGATTTCCCGTGTCCATTTAGCCAGCTCCTGTCCCTTTTTGCCTTCTCATCTCACCTCCAGACAGGAGCTGCCCACTTGGTTTCATGTATCTACTCAAACTAAGAAGTGCTCTCTTTACGAATATCATTTTATGTTTTATAGTCCAGTCTTATCTTTGTCTGAAGAGTTGGCTTCAGGAATGGTTTCAGTTCTGGGCTAACAGAGAGTCTGGGGGCCATATCTTCTGGGGTCCCTCCAGTCTCAGACCATTAAGTCTGGTCTTCTTACTAGAATTTGAGTTCTGCACCCCACTTTTCTTCTCCTCCAACAGGGACTCTCTGTTGTGTTCCCTGTCAGGGCGGTCATTGGTGGTAGCCAGGCACCATCTAGTTCTTCTGGTCTCAGGCTGATGAAGTCTCTGGT